CCTGCCACCCCCACAAGCCCCTCTTTTGCCTCCAAAGTTACACGCACATCAGGTGAAGGAGGGTGAGACTGAGTTTTTAGCACCGCAATGTGGAATTAGTTAATTGATCTTAATAGCTTAATAGTTAGGCAGATAGCCTGTCCCTGTTTTACAGGAGCACTGAGGAGCTGGGAATTGCTCCCCTTGTTGTGCACAAGTCCAAGAAGAATTTGCAGAGGGGGGCCCTCCATACAGACACACACACAGAGCCTTCTGTAAAGCTGTCTTGAAGGGACAATGCTGTGTTCACAAAGAAAAAAATAAAAGCTTTTCCTCAATTTCCTTTCATTTTTTATCTTCCTAAAATACATATATACAGTTTGTTCCAGGAAATGTCTGAAATGCCTTCTGGTAGCTTTTAAATAAACACAAAATCTCCTTTCGAGTTCAAAGAGTTTCACATAATGACTTCACATAAAGAGGGTCGGGTTCTTGGGCTACGAGGCTGATGTAAACAAAGGGCAGGAACCATTATCAATAATTAAAACGCATTATCTTTACTCTTGCCCTCCTAGTCTGATACCGTGTATCTGCGTGAGGCTGCAGCAAAGCTCAGCTGTGCCTGCCCAGCCATCTTTTCCTGGGTGCTAATTCCAGCAGACCTCAGCTAGGAGCTGATGTTTCTGGGTAGGCAGCGCTGCTGCCATCTCATTTCTGAGTAAAGCCGTATTTACTCGCTTCCTGTTATTAATTATGGGAAACAGGATCTCTTCAAACTGCAGGAGAAGCTYTTTTAACTCCTGTCTAGACTTTCCAAGGCGAAATACTGATGGGCTCTTTAATGTTTGTACAGAGACACAAACTGCGAGAAAACATCGCTGCCTCAAAAAGCTTAAGACTCCTTATCACACACCCACAAAAAAAAAAAAAAAATCCTTTAAATCTCTCATGCTCCCATCCTTATTGTGAGGCACTGAAGTAAGGTTTTCTTTCATAGTTGGATACTTGCTTCATCTGTCACACTGATTAATTAGCAGCTCACAGTATGAGCCCTGAGCTTAAATTGCCGCCTGAAACGAGGAGATCAGCGTTAATATTCCATAAAATGCTGAAGAGGAAAAATGCTTCCTCTAATACAAAGGGATCTATCGTCTCTTATGAAAAAATAGCTAATTTTTGTTTGACTACATCACGAGAAGGCTGAATGTACATGGCCCGGGAAAGAAGACTAGTGCAGAATTAGAAGGAAGGCAGATACAACTTTAAATGACTTCAATTAATCTTCATTGGAAAGAATCCAATCTCACGCATACTAAAGAAATAATTTTCATCGGGGTTAAAAAAGTTTGGTTTTGACAGACAACAAGTAACACCACCTATACAGATACAGAGGGAGAAATCATGTGGTCGCAAGAAGCGCGGTTTTCTAGAGCCCTGGGCCCGTAGCTCTCCCTAGGCAGGGCGGCGGCCGCCTCCCGCGTGCTGCTGCAGCTCCCTGGCAGGGAGCGAGGCRGGCGCCGCGGCACAGCCGGGTGCTGCCCCTGCCCCAGCCCACGGCCGCCTCTCCTCCCACCGCCAGGGCACCACGAGGTGCCACAAGCTGAAAGCAGCTCAGCACGGACAAGGCCACAAGCTTCCTGGGATGCGATTCCTGCTCTTGGCCTGTGCCACCGCTCGAGCAGGCTGCGCCACGCAGAGAGGGAACGCAGCGAGCTGAGAGACAGGAAGGCAGAGGGGGCCTTTCCCTTTGAAATCGCCCCATCAGGAAGTTGGGATAAAGCACAACTGGCAATGGGAAAATTCAAGACCGTTCGAGCTTCTCATTAGCTTAAACATGGAAAGGATGTTTACAACAACAGCATCAAAGATTAAAAGCTATCCATTATTTTAGGCTTGGATAGAAGCAATTCCARTCTATTTGGATTTAGCAGCAGAAGTGGCTGCTTTTAGCAGTGACATGGGCTCCCACAGGACAGGGAATTTTGGAAGCAGAGCCAAAAGGACGAGGGCTGACTGACTGCAGCCTCTCTGCTGGGTAATCATGTAGCGCATTCCTCCCAAGCCTCCGCTTGCACTAGCCCTTGCCTCGCACACACAGCTGCCTCCGCACACTGGCAACAAGCAACKGGGTCACCTGGGCTCTGCCAGGACCCATCCGCTCCTTCACGCCCCAGTATCAGCAGCAGTTTGACAATTACAGGATAACAGAGGTGGTGAGAGCCCCCCATGGCAGTTCCCAGAGTCCCTGGGCCATAGACACCATGCAATCTTCTCTCATCCCGTACAGAGTGAAGGACCAGGGTTATAAGAACATACCCTGAGCACTCTATGTTAGCTTAGCTACAAGCTCACATTTTCTTTATTTGTTTTTAAAAATGTCTTCACCGTCCTTTGGTTGATCCCACCATCCTCCYGCTTGCCCAGGCCAGGCATTTCTAAACCACTGCAGCAAGAGCGTTTGCTGCCGTCTCTGCACACTCGCCCCACGGGCATCMCAGTCTCTCCTCACAGCACTGCCCCAAGCACCACAAGTCCTCTCCTCTGCTCCCATCGCTGCCACAGTCCCAGCACAGCCATTCCCAGGACCACAACAAAGGCACCACCTCTCCCTCCCTCCCTCCATCTGGGCTCCAGGCTGCACCAGACCAAGCGAGCAGGATGCACTTAGCTGCAGCCATGCTACCTGCTCACCCCAATGCTGGGGTCCCTYGGACAGGCACCCTCCTCACCATCCCAGAGAAAAGCTCCGGTGCTGCCACGCAACCCAGAACCTGCTCCAAACGTGCCTGTAAAACTCCCATGCCAGCCCTGGCTGCCACCAGGGCCCCTTCCCTGGCACCTGCCCCAGCTGCAGCACACAGGGCAACAGGGAATCTCCCACTCATGRCAGGCAGCATGAGCCTCTGCCAGGCACAGGAAGGCATCGCTGCCAAGCAGTTTGATCCTCTTGCAGGTTTTGTGTGTGTGTGTGTGGAGGGGGGTTGCAATTGCGTTCCTTTCATATTTCCACAGCTGAGCCCAAGCTCCCCTGTCCTCCCCGCCAGAGAAAGGAGGGCTGCTCCGTTTACATAGATTAAAAAGAGGAAGCGATTTAATTGCCTGATTTCCTGGAGTCTTGCAAGAGAAGAGGACTTAGCTCTGTGGACAAAYTCTGGCAGGAATACTAACAGCAGAGCTAGATGTGCAAAGAAGGGGAAAAAAAGGGTAGTTATTGACCAGGTGAAAGACACAGAACAGCAAATGAAGTAGGAAACCAGAGCAGATTTATGAACAGGGCGTAACAAGCAGGCTGCAGTGCAGCTGCGAAACTCATTCCACAGGCTCGCCAGAGTCTTCTTAGGAGTAAGAACTATCAGACTGTAGAAACACCACTGCAGTTGACAAATGCTACCACTTAGCTCATGTAAATACCTTCTTCTTTTGCTCAGCTATACCATTGCTATTTGCATGCCTTTAAAGATTACTTAAATAATTTTAACGTAAAAAGCCAAGGAAGTCAAAACCAAACCTTGCATCATTACCTAATCAATGCCTGTCACTGCAACCAGGTTCCTTTTAATGGCCACTTGTCCCAGCAGTACACAGCCCAGCATGAGGAGCAAGGGGACTTGTGTTTTAGTTGGCTTCGGTACAGTGTAGGCATTTAGCATAAAGTTTATTAGCATTACTGGCCATTATGTAATTAAAGCACCATGCCTTGCACTGAATGTTCAGCTTTATCATCATTTAAGCATTGGGGTTTAAGGTGATTTAATCCCGAGGGCTTCCCCCCGCCATGTCCTATAAAACAGGGAAATAACGAACACGGGATTTTCAGAGTTATCCGGAGAATTCAGCCTCRCGTGTTCCTCCATTACGAGGGCTGCAGAAGGTGTAGCTGCACTTACAAGATGGATCCGAAAAATCTCAAAATGTCTCCTATGAAAATGCATGAAGATTAACTGCACAAAACAGCCTTATTAAGCTTAAGCCTCGCAATTATAATATTCTGCAGACCACAAGCTCTTCAAAGTATCATCATGAGACCACTGAAAAGTATAGCTTTGAGAAAATGCCTTTTTAAGATTTAACATGCCATACTTGTTTGATATTAGCCTTAATTCACTGAGTTTAACAAATCAACTTCAGTAACAAATGGAAGCATTTGTTAGGGGGTGCTGGCATTTTCCTCCCAAATGGCAAGGCCCAGGCAGCCTTGGGGACCCGTCACCTAGGCTCTGCACTGCAAGGGAAAGGGGCAGGCGATTTGGTAGCTGGCCCCCCCACACCACATCCTTGAGCATCACAGCCCGAGGACAGACCAACTCGCTACTGAAAAGCCGCATTATATTTTCCCCCCTCCCCTCAGATTTCAGCAGGATTAGCGCAGGGCACCAGCAAGGATCAGACCATTACCTAGAGCTGTATTTCTTTCCGAGCAAGATTCTTGAGTATTTAGAATATCTAAGCAGGGAGGAGTTGGGGGTATGTGCGCGTGCGTGCATACGTGCAAGTGGGCATGTTTTCATGAAGGAAAATAAACTGAAGGCTGCACTGTGGTAGAACTTCTGTGTGTACAGGTTTAACRCTTGATTTTTCAGAGGATTTTATTAATACCATTATCTACAGCACTGATGAGAAATATTTATWTACAAGTAAGCCTGAAACTTACTCTGGTGAATTCTTTGTTTTGTATGTCTGAATAATTTCGCCAGAACAGCAAACCAGAGGAGCAAGCAACAAAATACCACAGCCCTACTTGTGATTTTTTAAGCTATCAAAAATAAGGGTTCTCCCCTCAGTACTGTGTCTCAGTTTAATATTCTGAATAATCCAGTTTCATTCAGAGCAAACTCAAAGCATGGTACACTTGAAAAGCCAAAGAAAAGCATCAGTGCAAAACCACTGACAGGCCTTTGTAGAGACACTAGCGATTTTCCCTTGGGTAATCCAAGGCAAGGCCAATTAGTGGTTGATTTATTGGGCATATCCTGAGCTATCAAACAAAAACCTCTTATTTCTTTGTCTTCCAGAGGCTTCACAACAGAGCTGCAGACCAACAAATGAAGCTAAGCGAGGGCAATTTGACCAACGTCTTCTGTGTCAGCTCCCTAGCACTCCAATCATGTTATCGGGTCTCCAAGGTACGTCCCAGAGATTAGTTGGTTCTGCTATACAATTAGTAAGTGATTAAAACAAGCCATTTCCTTTGATTGCATTAAAATACTTGCAGCAGGGAGAGCTATTACCCTCTGCAGCGGAGCGCGTCTTCCCTAAGTGATGTTGTTTACTGGCGTCTTAYTAGCAACGTGCCACCTCGGCCAAACCACCAGGCAGCAGAGTGGTCTCAAACGTGAGGGACAAGCTGGTTAAACCCAGTCTTGCCCGGACAACGCAGCAAGCACGGCTGTCACGGAGAGCGCAGGAGGTCAAAGTGCAGCTTGTCATCTCAGTTCCCTTTACCCCTGTCCCCCCAAAGCTTGTAAGACTTTTTTCAGAGGAACTAACAACACAGTGTAGAAACTAAAAGACTAGAGTTTTTAAAAGGCTTTTTTTTTTCTTTTAAAGCATGACCACAGGTAAATGATGCCTACTACTAAGGCACAGGAAAATCTCACTTACATAAATCATTATTTTTAAGCACTATGTGCCATTTCATACCCCAGCAGAATGTTTTCCATCCCAAAGTTTCCAAGGCTGTTCAGTATTTCTGTATAGGCAAAACATATTTAAGGGCTCCCCAAAAGACCTGCTAATTTAAAAAGCCCTGTCAAGTGGTCAGACAGAGTGGAATTCAAGGATTATAGGTAAGAGAGATGAAATGAAGGCTTGGAAACTATAATTTCTTCCTGTGGTAGCAGCAGAAGCAGCTGTTACAGACCAGGCAAATGAAAGAGTGGGCAGCCCAGAAACACAACATTGCAAACTGTAAGGGCAAGTCATCTGCACTCCACTTTTGAAGAGCCAGAAGTGCTGACCACTTATTTTGCTCCCTCCCTCTGTTACCCTTCTCTCTCTCACTCACAAATACCCTCCAGCTGGTACCCTTCCAGCCCCAGCTCGCCAGTTCTAATTTCCTACCCAGTTTTGGGGAGTTACTAGTAATTAATTCCTGGCTCTTCAGACAAATGTGCATGTGGGAGTTGTCAACAAACAGAAGATGACACTTCTAGAAGAAAAGCAGGTGAAATAACAGTTTCTATTCAACTCTTCTTTGCCCATGCAAGTCGTTAAAACAGACATGTAAAAACAACCTTTCCATTTTGAACAATATTTATCAGACTTGCCAAGAGTAGCGTCATCTGCCTAGTATATTCAGTGCAGAGAAAGAATTTAAGATTAAAAAAATAAAATAGACACTAATTCTTTTTCAGATACACTGGTTAAGTGATTCTTTTGACCGTATTTGGACAGAGACCAGGACTTTCGCTGCTTGTTGATCCAGTTTTTATTTTGAGGGGGGGAGGAGGGAAGGGAGAAGTGGGGAGACAGACATTGAGCCGTGAACTCATGGTGCTACATATTACTTTCTACCTCCAAAAATGATAGAGGGTCTGTGAACTAGTGCAACAAAACAATTTGAAGTCACCAACATGCACACTCTACTTGAGCCTTAACCCTGTCCTCCACACCAGGTATGGACTTCTCAGAAGAAACCTTTGTACCTTGCTTGGACAGMTTTTAGGTCAACAGGTGCTACCAACCTAGAATTTCTCACTTTGCATTATCATAAACTYGGGGACCATTTTTGATCTCAGATTATGCATCAAGAATCTGTATCACCCATTCCATTTCCTTTGTGCATATTTGTAGTCAATGCAAAACCACCAGTTCAGATTTGCTGCTGATGCATTTTAAGTGCTTCCATTTCCATCCTCATCTAACAGCATTAACAGTGTTGCTGCACAGAAACATTGCAGTGGATTTGAAAAGCTCTCAACCTCTAAACTGTGCTTCTCTAAAGACATTTCACAAGCCTTAGGGAAAGGCATATAACAATTTAACAACTATAGCACAGATCTAGAGAAATTAAGTGCCCCATTTTATATGAAGAATTAGAAGAATTTAACATTTTGGGTGGGCAGAGGCCTCTGTCTAAAGCTTTTGCTTGAAACTAATCAATTGCCATTTGGATTTTCATACAAGTCTAAATTAAGAATATGYGAGAACAGCAAAAGCATTCTGAAGGTTAAAGCCCATATTCAGTGCAGTCCTTTTTTAACAGCAAGAGTGGGTATTGGTCTGTTCTTTACATCTCTTCCCACACAGCTCTCTGCTTCGTAAGCAGAAACCAGCTGCTGGTTCTTTCAAGTCTAGTGGTTAGTTGACATTTACCATTAGTTTATGCTTTCCATTCTGTCTTACCAAGGAAAAGAGCTAGAAATGTAAAGAGTGGAGATTACATCTTTACGTTTCTACTTCCCCCAAATTGGAGGGGGGTGCAGCCAAGGTTTTGTGGTGGGTGTAAGCATGAGACAAGATGACCATTTGATGCAGCAGCAGAAGAGAGAGGAGGACCCAGGAGCCCTGGTTTTGCTGATAACAGCCTGGCCACTAGTCAGCACTTGCTGCAGCTCTTGAGTAGCAGTAACTATTTTGTTATCATCCCATTCAAGCTCCATGTCTGAAGAACGCATTTTACAGCAGCGATGACATCTATGACTCAATAACCTGGCAGCATTCCTTTAGCAAATGCCATGAGCACACACACAGTCTTGTATATACACCCAGGATACAGTCAGTTGATGGCAAAGAGAGGAGATGAGGAGGAGAGCTCTTAGGGGATGTCACAAAACACTTACCTCTCACAGGCAAGAGACAACCCAAAAATCTACACACGCTTGAATCCTGCAAACCTCCTACTGCCCCCACAACCACTACCAAACTGTTAAACTGCAGTTTAACAGAAGAAAAAGAAGGAGCTGAGGGGAAGATAGAGAAAAAAGCAGAGAGCCATCCATACACAGTGTTATAGTCCTAATATCCAACTCTCACAGATACTAATATCCAACTGATCACAGAAAAAGGATGTTGATACTGGTCTGTTTAGAAYTTCCTTTGCCTTTCTGAAATTTTTAACTTGAAACTCAACTATGAATTTTATATCTAGAAATGCAGATACTAAATGTACTAAATAGTACTAAATGTAAATACAATACAGTGGTGTCACGGATACTATTTCAACAGTTATTTTGAACTTCTAACCACRAGCCAACACAAAAAAACACACCCAAAATATAGAGATACATTTCCTATACAAGTCCAGACATGAAGTCAGGAAAATAAGGGAGACAGAAGTGATCCAGTGAACAAAATCCACCCTCCCGACAAGGGAGTGAGGAGTTGCTGTGTATAGTTAACTGGTCAATAAAACTTCAGTGGGAAGCCCGGCTCAGAGGTCGGTCAGTTGGCACAGACACTGAGTCTGTGTGTGTGAAACGGGTCTCAGAATAGAAATCCAGAACGTGCAGCCTTTTACCTGACAGATTTTACTGCCAGAGCCCTAAAAAGGGGTAAGAGCAACAAGATTGCTGAAGGTGTTATGAGGAACCTGGAATGTGCAATTAYTCAAAGGCTCTGAACTTTTATCTGATGTGCTCAGGGGCCACTCAGTACAGAGAGGGTCAGAAAACACCATATTGCGTTTCTTTCCCAGGTCTGGGTTAAGACATTTGCAGACATCCCTTACTGGATATAATTCTTCCTTCTTAAATCAAGCCTCTGTGCTTGCACATCATAGCAGATCAAAATCAGTCTAGCTCACATCATCCATGTCAACTCAGTGCTGCAGCTGTTCACCGCATGTGTTAGGAAGGCAGCAGTAAGAACTGTAAAAACAGGTTTAGAAAAGTCAAAACTGCAAAGTCAAGGAGGACCTGAAAATAAGACTTGCACTCAGAGACCCTGAAAACTTGCTTCCAGCAATCTGAAAGCACTAAGAGAAAAGCGGTTCACAACAACCCCAACACAACAGGTCTTGAACATTGCTTCCTTTCATCGTGTACTGCACTTATGGGGCACTAGATTTTTCTAAACAGTACCCAAAGCACACTGTCAAGTGCAGCCAAACATCTGAATGTCAGAGCAGCCTTGCAAGAGAAAGACTCAGTGCTGTATTTAGAGAAAGACTCAACTGTTTTTTCAGTCTTTCTGAAGGACATCAACTGTACCTAGTGCTACCTCCTCTTGTTCCTCTGCAATAAAGAGCAGCTTAGTTAGAAATAAGGTAGAATTTAATTTAGTAAATTGTTCTAATAAAAAAAGAAACCATCTTTAAACAAGGTGGAAACCTATCTTGAGATGCATGTCAGAACCAATTTCCTTTTGCAATCATTCAGAAATCCATGAAGACATGTTTTACTGATAAGTGTTAAGAAAAAAGCATCAACTAAACACGTGTCCTAGTACACATGCATGCTGTACCTTTTGGAATAGACCTCATCAATTTCTACTTATATTCAATGATAAAATTAAAGTTTTGTATATTTTTGTATGAATTAAGGAGAAGGATTTCAACATGTGATACTGAATATTACTTTCATTTCCATAATAGGATCATTTTGGCCTTATAAAACAGGATATTTTTCCCCTTACACTGCAGGTTTTGTTTCTTGGAGCAGCTTTTATAGTGACAGCATTTATTGTAGTGTCCACTGCGTGTGAAAAAGAGCAAAACATCAAGTACATACATGTGCAGGACAGCAAGATGCTTCTGCACAAGACTGAGTGGAATAAGTCTAGAAATTTTCCACTGCTCCAAACAGAGCTCTTCAGCTRTAACTACAGATCCATCCTCCCTGCACACAGACACAGCTGCAGTACTTCATTGCTAAGAGAAAAGTCTAGGTCCAAGTCTGTTCTTTATGAGATACTATAAGCAACCGATGGGTTATTACTTGTAGGGATGATTAGAAAGGACGATTGTTTCACAAAATGATAGAGGTTTGATAGGTTTGAAGAGCTCTTTTCTTTCCATCAAGTTTTAAGAAAAGGTATTTCTAAGTTACTAAATATTTCTTTGGGGCAAAGCAGGCCATGACAAAAGAAAGGGTGGAATAGAAAACACTATCAGCAYGACCTCTTCCCAGATGAAGAGTCATCTGACAGCTAAGACATTCACACAGACTATTGGAAACCCAGGTTT